ATCGGAGCCCGTTTGGATTCTACGGTGGGAAAAGCCTTCCTTCCTTGGGACAGACAACAAACTCTTGCTCGCCACATCCATCGAATGCAACGAGACAGCACAGTTCGGGCAAAGTCCATCCAGAGACTTCTGGGGCATATGGCTTCCTCAGTTGCTGTGGTCCCACATGCCAGACTTCGACTTCGTCCCATACAACTCCTGTTAAACAAGATGTTCCGTCCACAGAGGAATTTGCCATCAAAGTTGATTCGAATTCCATCCTCTGTGCTCCATTCTCTACTCTGGTGGTCAGTTCCAGCCAATCTGACTGTTGGGGTTCCATTCAGACCCCGATGCCCTTCGGTAACCCTTGGTACCGATGCATCTCTCCTGGGATGGGGAGCAGTATGCTCCGATTTACACACTCAGGGCACGTGGAATCATCAAGAATCCAGGAATCATATCAACTTCCTGGAACTCCTGGCTGTATTCAAGGCCCTGCGTTCTTTCGAGGACGTTCTCTGACATCGAGTTGTTCAGATAACTTTGGACAATATAGCCACTGTCTTTTATCTGAACAAGCTAGGGGGAACAAAGTCACCGGCTCTGGCCAGACTCTCGATGAAAATCTGGGATTGGTGCATCCCGAGAGACATTACGCCAATGGCAGTCCATCTAGCTGGTACGGACAATGTGGAAGCGAATCTTCTCAGCAGACACATGCTCATCTCTCATGAATGGGAACTAGATCCTCGGATGCGCGACCGTCTTGTCTGTCGTTGGGGGTTTCCCGATGTGGACTTATTCGCCACCCAACAGAACAAGGTGTGTGATGTTTTCTGTTCGAGAGCGGGAATCAGACACGGATCCCTAGGGGACGCCTTCATGATCCCCTGGAGCAACCTGAACTTTACGCCTTTCCCCCGATCCCTCTTACTATGAGAGTGATAGCGAAGATTGTACACAATCGGACCACAGGATTACTGATTACCCCTTGGTGGCCATGCCAAGCTTGGTTTTCGACACTGCTCAACATCTCCCACAGAGAATACCTCCATCTTCCACTGCTTCCGTACCTCATAACCCAACGGGACGGCACGCTTCACCATCCAGATCTACCGTCATGAACTTAACAGCGTGGCGAATCCGATAACTGACATTTCACTATCAGTATCGATGGCATCTGTAAGTGGATCGAATCCTGCCTCCAGATCCGGTGAGTTCAGCGCTTCTTCACTTGTTCCTCCCGTGTCATCGGATCCAAGCAACGTCCTGTCGGTGCCGACAGCCTTTCATCCAGATATTCAGCACATCCTTGATTCTGCGTTAAAACCGTCTGCGCGGAAGTCCTATGTGGCAAAATGGTGACGATTATCAACCTTTGCCGAGCCTTATTCGTTCTCTCCATATGCTGCATATCTATACATCAGATCCTTCAGTTCCTATTAGAACTGCATCAGTCTGGACTGAAGCCATCTTCTATTAAAGTGTACACGGCAGCAATCGCCTATCATTGTGGCTTAGTTGACAGATCACCCATCTTCTCTCAGCCTGTTATAAAGAGATTTCTGTAGGGACTTCATAATCTTAACCCATCAATCAGACCACTGATGCCTACCTGGAGTCTCTCTGTAGTCTTACAAGCCCTTACAAGAGCTCCCTTCGAACCCTTAGCAACAGTCGATTTATGCCTTGTTTCCTGGAAGACAGCGTTTCTTGTGGCAGTTACTTCAGCTCGAAGGGCTAGCGAGCTATGCGCTCTCTGCATAGATCCTCCTTACCTGAATTTTCACAGAGAAAAAGTTGTCTTGCGATTAGATCCATCTTTTCTTCCTAAGGTAGCCACCTCTTTTCATATGGGACAAGACATTGTCTTACCTGCCTTTTTTCCATCCCCGACGACTCCATTAGAAAGATCGTTGCACTCACTTTACGTTCGACACTGCCTAGCCTTCTATAGATCGAGGACTGAGTCTATTCGACGCTCAAATAAACTCTTCGTCAAATACTCTACCCGAGATCAAGGCGCTCTGATCACTCCTCAGAGGCTTTCCAAGTGGATAGTCCATACAATTACCCTGTCTTATCAGCTGGCTAGTATTGACTTACCTAGAGTTCTTCGAAGCCACTCGCCTAGGGCTGTCGCTACATCCTCTGCTTTCGCGTCGGGAGTCCCCATTGATGACGTATGCAGAGCAGCTACTTGGGCAGCTCTTTGCACTTTCGCTAAGCATTATCGCCTAGATGTTCACGCTAGGCAAGACTGCTCCTTTGGCAGGGCCGGTCTTTCATCTGTTCTTCTTGAGGACACCTCCCCTCCTCCAATAATGGTAAGCTTGTTAATCTACCCATATGTGTGATGCACAGAGGCCACGACGAAGAAAAGCAGGTTGCTTACCTGTAACTGATGTTCTTCGAGTGGCCATCTGTGCAGTCACACAACCCACCCGCCGGCCCTTCTTGGTGTCGGTGAGTGGACATTTTCATCGATACTGAACGTTTCCCTTTTTTTCATGGTACCAATATCATTTATAGTAGGGATATTTTTTCCACATGGGGGCGAACATTCGGTCTTCAAAGACTGAACAAAATGGCGGACGCTCCGCTCTTTATAGGCTAGAAGGGGAGGGGGAGCGGAGCTTTTTCCCGCCAAAAATCGTTAGCTATCAATCTTCCGGCCAAAGGCACTGTGCAGGCACAGCACCCGTATGTGTGACTGCACAGATGGCCACTCGAAGAACATCAGTTACAGGAAAGCAACCTGCTTTTACTCCCTGCCCTAGTAGAGGAAGTGTCTGTGGAGAAACAAGTTCTGTGGAGAAACTTTAAAAATAAGGAAGGCTTATATTGTTGTGATGGTACAATACATTAGCTAGCACTTTTTTTTTGCTTATAAAGCACCACTTCAAAGCTAAGGCAGCTTTTTCAAAACATGCATCCTTGCTGGGTTGTTGGAAGTTGCAGTTCACCACCTCTGGAGGGCAATAGGCTGGGGAAGTCTGAGTCAAGCAAATAGTTTGAAAATCACCAGTGGATATCACCACCTGAGCCATGAGCACCTTGGGTTGTGCTATGTGAGTCACTGAGAATCAGACTCAGCTGTGCCCCTCCTTCCCATCTCCAATTTGTAATGGGGAAATAACTTAGTCAGTAGCAGACATGGAAACTCAGTAGATGGTTGAACCTGTTTTTTAGGTTTACCTTTCCCCCTGATTATGACAGCGTTCTCAAGTAAAAATATATAGGGGCTAGACCCAGAGAATGGTTGTGATACATACACGTGTGCGTGTGCACTCACTCAAATACAGCTTTGCAATGTAATAGAATTTGGTCAAGAAACAGCTCATGGCAGTCACTTATTTCTCCAGCTGTGAACTCTCTGCAAGACCAGAGTAACCTGTTCAGTACAGAACTGTGCAAAAAAGTCCTCCCAGAGTCTTTGTAAATTGCTATGTGATTGTGCTTGCTTTGTTGGTTATTTAAAACTAACCAACTGAACAAGCTCTGTTGTTGGATATACAGCACAGTATTGCCACACTGTGAGATGGAGTCAGGCTTTTCAGGTACACTGTCATGTCCCTAAAATTTACATTTACCCTGTTCGTACATCACGTTGCTTTTGATAGCAGTTGCAGCGATCTGCATTGTGCACAAGCTGCTTCAGGCTTCCAGCTGGCCTAGGAATGTGGGATTCATAGGTTGTTTCCATGACAACAAGTTTGACAACAGGTTGTTTCCTGACAACTTGGAGTCGTTTGTGTTTTAAACAACCCCAAGTTAACCTATGGTTTGTTCTCATTCTTGAAGACTGGGGTTAATTAACTTTTCTGCTAACCTGAACATTGCGTGTGACAGGGTTTTTCCTCTCTTTTTGAATCTGTGGGCGCATTTGCAATTTTGTGGGTACTCTCACAAAATGGCTGCCATAGGAGGGCAGCCATTAATCAATTCACATTGATAAAATGGCTGTTATGGTGCATATGGTCAGTCGCAAAGTACTAATTCTCTCTGAAGGCAAACTGGTGAGGCTGAAAGAAAAGCAACTTGCACAAGAACTGAAGTGCAAGGCAGAATTCATGTCTGAGCTCCCATACATAGGCAGGACACCTTACATCATATAGCCTCTCCTCCAAAATACTAAGCCACTCATTCAAACTCTTGAGGGCAGCACCTCAGTTTCCAGCATGCCTGTCTCCAAGTCCAAAAGAAGAAGAAAGGACAGGAAAGGGGGCAGAGACCGTGGCTGGTGCCAGGGGAGGACTCACCATGTTGGAGATTCCAGGTGTGATTTTCCAGTGTGATCTTTTAGTCAGGGGGTCAGACTTAGGCTGGATCATAATCCGTAAGAAGATGCCCTGTGACTCACAACTTTAAGGGAAGAATGTTTGTTCTACTTATAAGGAATATGGTATGATCTCTTATTACTGAAAAAGAAATCCTGTGTTGGCAAACATGTGGGGGTTTGGTTTATTGCAGTCGAGATAAATTATTCTGCATTTACCGTTGAAACTACAGCTAAACCATTTCTGGAACAGACTTTGGCTGAGTTTTCTCACCCTGCATCTGCTTTAGTGAGAATTTTCAGACGGACGGCTTGGTCTGGAGAGGCCTAAAGTAGTGGTTATGCTGGAATGTTCAGGGGCTTAGGTTATGTATATTTCTCAAAGTGTTCACAGCATGGATACATGGCATACCCCACATTCCAGAACTCCTAGGCAAGCTGGCAGTTGCAGAGTGCTTCCCCTTGACAGGGTATGTCACTCTGAGGGAACCGGTCTTGTACTCTCTGTGCGCATGCACAGATCCCACACAGACAGACAGACAGACAGACGTGAGTTGTTCCAGCAACTGAAAATAGGAGAGCGTGCAGTGGATTTTCTAGCTGTTTATATATACTCAGTGTGAGTGTCCAAGGTTCTACCGGCAGAACTTTGCTTGCATTATCATATAAGGAAAAGTTTAAGAATACAATGAATTGTAGCGACAGAAGTATAATTAGTTTTCCCCCATTTCTTTTACAGATTTTTTTCGTGGTATATTTTGTCATTATGAGATGTTGTCTCTCGGAGCTTCATTTGTGCAAATTAAATTTGATGACTTGCAGTTCTTTGAAAACTGTGGCGGAGGGAGTTTTGGCAGTGTATACCGAGCCAGATGGATCTCTCAGGACAAGGAGGTGGCTGTGAAGAAGCTGCTTAAAATAGAAAAGGAGGTAAGCATGCAGTTAACTGGTTCTTTCTGTCAGAAAAATGACTGAGTAGTAACATTTCAGTTGGTGGCTAAACACAAGCTCTTTCTTTTTTTATAGTATCTTCCCTCTTGTGTCCGAGCATTTAATATTGCCCAGCCCCACTGGCAGCCCCCTTTTTTCCTAGTTGGTTGCCAGGGTACTTCTGATGGAATGACTTAATGTAATTAAACTTTGCATATAGGAGGACATACTGAAAAGTAAACTTTGACATTCAGCATGTTGGTGAATGGGATAGAGTCAACTTCATGTTTATTTCCTGATTTTTAAACCAGTGTCTAGCAAGAGCCTAATAGGATAGCTTCTCTTTTGTTAAAATATTGCTAATCTAGTGGTGCACTTTTGCACTCGGTTATAAAAGTACCTGTCATGTTGATTTTTCTGAGAATTGCATGCTTCTCATTGCAGGCGGGATTGCAGCCTAGATGCGCAACATCATATTTCAGTCAGATCTTTATTTACAGAAAGATGTTGTCATACGAATAGGTATTCTCAGTATGAACTCCGGCTTCTGTTATAAGGCCACACAACTCAGGAAGACAACATTATTTATATGTAGGTAGCAAAATACCCTCACAAAATTAGAAATGAAGTAGTGGTATGAATAGGTTGAAAGTACTTACAATCCTGTCCTATGTATGTTTACTGAGATTTACTGAGATATAAGTGAAAATTATTTCCAAGGAGTGTTTTGGATTGTACCCTGCTTTTCCGTGCTTGGTCAGGATGCTAACTGAGTAGGTTTGTTGATTATGCAAACTATAAGAGAATATCTCAAGAGCACATTATGGAAACTTTAAGAGTGCATCTTGAGTGATACATTGCTGTTTAATAACGGATATGCAGCCCAATCCTGTGTACACGTATTAGGGTATGATTTGCTTCTTAGTAAACATGCATATGACTGGGTTGCATATCTGTTATAAGATAGCAATCCAGAGCAGGTTATGTCATTTATATCAAAGCCAAGCACATTGGTTATTTCAGAATGCAAGAAAAGAGAAATATACTGAAACGAAATAGCAAATTAAATCTATAATATAGAAATTTAAATTACCAAATATGCCTAACTTGTGCCATTGAAGACCACCCAGTTTCTGACTTGCTTGATAGTATTTACTGATTAAGTATTTGACATGTAAAGAAAATAAAGTCAACTCACTATAATGGGCTGGGATTTTCTAAAGGAGTCTACGTGTGGTGGCTTTTTATAGTTGTCTGGGCTAAAGGATCTCTCACTTTGGTGTTCTGCTTGTTGTCACGATAGGTTAACGGTGCAACTGTATATATACCTACTCAGAAGTCAGTTCCACTGAGTTCAGTGGCTTTACTCCTCTCAGGTGCCTGTAGGAATGCAGCCGAAAGTGGAAGGGATTTGATTTGACATTCCTGAATTCAGTGGGATTTTAAGTAAATCTAAATACTAAGGGCCACATCCTGCAGGTCTGAAGCAGACATCCACTCATTCAGGGGTATTTCCCCTTGTTCTCCCCCTCTGCACCCCTGTCTACATATTTACCCTGCGGTGCTTTGGAGCAATATTCGTGTGTGATGGGAGCTGAATGGAGAGAGGGAATCTCCCACCAGCGGTTTGCATTCCGCTGATGGATGAATTGCATTGGGTGCAAGCCCAAGTGTAAAACATGCTTCATTTGCTTGTAAAATATCTCTCAATGACATCATTGTGAGCTTCAGGGTAATTGTGCTTGGGACTATAATTCCGGATGTTCTAGATTCTCATATGGATTTCTATCCAGAATAGGCAATTTATCCTCACTTACTATTTTTTCAGTAGGGTTAAATTTATGGTTAGAAAAATGCACGCCACGTGCAAACCTTGATTTTCTTGAGTGATTCAGTCTCAAAGTTCTTTTATCGCTGGTTGAAGCTTAGGTCTATAAGGAATGTTTTGAGTAATAACAGCACAAGTTATCAGATAAGAACTTTTATTTTAAGATCAGTGAGATGCTGTACAAGTTAATTTCCATAAATATACTTTTGGCAGACTTATGAGTACAGAACAGTTTCAGTCTTGGAAAGATTTAATTAAAATCCATTGTTTTCTGTTGTTTGAACCAGCAAATAAAATACCACCTAGTCATGGAGATTTGATTTGTTCAGCTGTTAACAGAAAAACATTAATCATATTTCCTTAGTGTTCTTTCTTGCATCTATAACATATTTATATGTAAATTCAACATACCGGTAATCTCTGAGAGCGGGGGATGGTATTTGCCTTGTGGATCAATATGGAGTCTAGTTTTATAATAATATGTCTGTAGATTATGTACTTCATATCCTTGCTGTTTATAGAGCTTACCTCCAGTAGGAAGGCACAGCCCTCTAAAAGTCAATAACAGTTCATATGAGTATTTGATCTATATTTATTATTCACGTGTGTTGTAAGCAACTCTTGCTGCAGGCTGACATATCTAGGCTGCCTCATTTTGCCCTCTAATCCACCCTGTGACTCAGGTTAGGCTGTGTGGTGTCTGAGCCCATGCTAAACTTTATGGTCAGATGCAGACTTAAATCTGGATTTCTCACATCTAAATCCATCATGCTTAGCTGCTTCACTATACTTACTGCATTATACACTGGTACACTTCACTGCTTTATTATTAAGGAAGGCATTAGAGAAATCTGTTAAAGAAAATCGTTTCTGCAAATGAAATTGTGGAGAAGGATCAAACATGGCAACATTTCCTGTCTCTGTCCTTTCTTGTTGGAAAGGAACAGAAAAGGCATTCCTGGCTTCCTTACTGATAAATCCTCCAAGCCTTCTATGACACTAATAAAATGATTAGAATTTGATAATGGTGCTTTTTATTGCCACCTGCTTATTGCATTCTTTGGGTAAAGAGCTGGCTTCCTGAAATCACTGATGTTTGAAACCTCAGGTGCCCCTGGGCCTTGCCTGAAAGGTTAAGTAACTGCAGCAGGTAGAAGCACTATTCAGACTCCTCATTGGGTGTCTGCTGCTACATATTTCTCAATTTTGAATGAGTTTTCGGTATTATAATATGGTTGATCATTGCCCTGTATCTGCATGGAGTAGATGGTCTTGCCATAGGTACCTTGCGAAGCGTGTGGGGAACTGAGCCTGTGAAATTGACTTTACCTTCCTAGAACATTTTGGGCATAATTCAAAGTGCTTTGAAAGCTTTGAAAGCCCTTTAATAAGTTGGACTCCCAAGGGCTGCTGTACATGAGGCATAACCGAGTGCTTTGCCAAGGCCGTTGCTTCTCTTTTCTTTGCAGAAGGACTGCTGTGTCCTTCACACAAGTCTCCCCACTGCCATTCCACTCCAGGTTGTCTCTCTGCCTTTCCATGTGCTCCAGTGTGTTCCACTACACAGTGCAAGATGGCACAGTAGTACGGAGCAGGACTGAGACATTTCATAAGGCTTCTGCATGGAATAATGGCATCATCTAGGAAAATACTGCATTATCCCTGCTCTTTAAAAAGCCATGGAAGAGGCTGGAAAACAAAGAAGAGACCCTAGGAGGAGGATAACATTGCAGGAGGGCCCTGCAAACTTCCATGAGTGAGGGGTCACAAGCGCACCGTGAATGTCTTGGGCAGAGAAAACCCTGAGACCGTGCGTTTCAATCCTGATTCCTTAAATGCTGCTGGTCTAAAATGCATACATCAGCCGTGAATATCAGGCTTGCTGATGGGGGGTCATGGGAGCTGTAGTCCATAATCAAGTGGGGACTAAGGTGGCAAACCAGTGTTAAGGAGCGTAAAGGCCGTTTTCTTCTTCATTAGCTGTAGGAATGAGCAAAGTTATATCAACTTAATTATGTTTTTTCCCATCCACGTGTATACATTTTGGAGGCTTCCCACCTCATCCTGGAGGCTTACCAAAGACTGAGGATGCAAGAGACAGGGTAAGAATATAGTGCTTGGGCTGTAATTTGGTAGCAGCAATCACATTAATTGGACAGCCTCTTGCTTGTGTTCCTCTGACGTGCTTATTGAAAAGCTGGAAAAGCATGCATCGCTTGATTGTTATGTGCCTACACCCCACTTCCAAGCAATGAGAAGTTTCAAGGGTCCCAACACTTCCTCTGGATCCAATTTCCTTTGGTGAAGGTCACCAAAGACTTAAGGTGTGCCTGTGACATAAGGGTTATTTATACCTGTGCGTAAGCTGAGGGTCTGCAGCATTAACAGTCCAACAGGCTTGCTGTATATCAGATATCTAGGGGAACCCATAGTGCAATCGGGTTTCTGGCAGAGAGCAAAAATGTGCTGACTCTGCTCCAGCACAGACTCACTAAGCTACAGGCATAGCTTGTTTTCACAGACTCTTGAGTTAATGTAGCAGGAGTGAGAAAGATAAGCTGCAGCTTAGTTATGTCATCTCTGAAGACAGTCACCATTCAGTTGATCTTCATAAGGGTAGAGAACCAGCCGGGCTAAACTTGTCCACCCCATTTGACCAAGTTTATGTTCATTAGCACAGACTCATTTAGACCAAACCCTTTACTTATAATATTTATATGCCAGACTGTCCTGGACCAAAAACCCTGGCTTATTCGGCATGTATCATGAAATCAAGTACTAATAAAGAAAAAGATCAAGATACCCATATGCCTTAATGAAATGGATATGATGAACTAGTAGCAGAACAAATAAATAAATGATATATTGGGCTGAATCCAGGCATAGTTATGCTTCAAATAGATCCATTTAAATTAATGGTATGGGTTAGTTATGATTATATTGTGTACTGCTGATTTCAGTTAGTCTACCCTAAGCAAGGCTAAGTCTGGATACAGTTCAGTGATGTTGTGCTTTCTCAGGGTTGAATCCAGACATATCCTTTGACCTGACTTAGGTCTTTGCTGTGACACACCATTCAGGGATGGGTTTCTCCTGGGGTGGCTGGTGCTCTATTAGAAGAGGTGAGGCCTGTTTTTAGGTTAGATATTAACTTACTATATTATGCTGTCTT